AATGCCGAGAGGACTGAGGGCGCGACAGGCGGGAATACGGGAGAGTGGGGGCGGCGGGTTTGCGGGGAGTTCGCTGCAGCCTTAGCTGAAGGCAACCTCGATAACCTCTAAATAAATATATATTCCATCGTTTCAACCCACAAGTGAACTTTGCTCATTCCAACCGCTCAAAGATCCCGTCCTTACATCTACACCGTTCTTAGATTATTCCAAGCTCAAAACCTTCTAACTGATAACCGAATTACCCCACGCATGCTTTAATCCTGTCATTCGTTATATCCCCCGTACGATAGATTACACTGTTCAACACGATTTTTAATCTGCAATATCCATTGGGAGATCCTTATAGAGTTCCTCGTCCAGATCACGAATCCGGAAGCAGAATTTCTCAATCTCCTTCAGTTTCTGAAAAACATGAGCTTTTGTAATGATACGGTCTCAGAGCCCCATGGGATCGCGGTACATAGAGAGAATGGACAGTATCTTTTAGTTATAAGTTTATGTTAATAAGTTTATCTTTTTCGATACTACAATAAAAACTAATGAAATACAAGAGGTGCAGTTCAATGCCCGCCATTCATCTATCAATTATGGTAGCAGAGTGTGGTTAAAGAAAATACGCAGTTAGAGGTTAGAAAAAGCACGTGGCGGGCACAAGCGAGTTTATACAGGGTGGGGCAATAACTATATCCACCTTGAACCCAAAACGTTATATGTAATAATATGAAAAAATGTTACGTACAAAACTTACACGGTATAGAGGGGGGCATATTGTGACACAAACATTTTCTGCGTGGGTAAAGGCATAGAGGAGATTTCAAGGTCATCTCTGTTTTTGTTAATGGAATGCTATGCTTTTTTTATCGCGATGTGATAGCCGGTGTTGAGACGACTTCAGCGAGCTATCATTGAAGGTCATGCAAAGTCAAATGTGGTAGTAACATAAACTTTCTTACATTACAGGAGATGCTCGAAATGGTAACCGTTTGCGTCAATGCAAAGTTGCAATCTTCGTATCGCTGCATCACGTGCATGTCTTATCGTTTCTGAACTTATTCTAGCACATGCTGTATTATTTCATAGGGGACTTTATTAAACAATGTACCACTAAACGTTCGCCAAATGATATGGTTACAGCACAACGGGTGTCCAGCATATTATGCTCGGAGAGTAAGAGATGCACTGAACGAACTTCACCCAAATACATGGATAGAACGTGGAGGATTAGTTTCTTGGCCACCTCGTTCTCCAGATTTAATCCCACTAGATTTTTTTCTCTGGGGAGCATTGAAAAATGCTGTTTATCAAGAAGTTGTGGCGGCACGTGAACAAACGCGCCGCCTCATAGACGACGTGCCGATCAGCGCGTTGCGACAAGACACACTTCGGCTGCTCGGGCGAAAGTTCTCGGAACGGCGAGGACCGTCGTCTGTATACATTGTCGAATAATCGAGAACGTTCTCGTGCGATGCGTCAGACGACGGCCCTCTTGAAAAGCCGTCCCGGGGACACACAAAAAGGGCAGTCAGGCCTCAAGTGTTGCACGGGCAACAACGTTCCGAGCGATCTTAGACCAAAGCGTAGTAAACGATTTACGAACGTATATGTGTGGATTATTTCACCCTAACGCCGAATTTCCCCACAAAGTACCCACTACACCAGAAAATCTGAAACAACGGATAATTGCAGCATGTGCTAGAATAAGTTCAGAAACGATGAGATATGCACGTGATGCAGCGATACGAATATTGCAACTTTGCATTGACGCAAACGGTCACCACTTCGAACATCTCCTGTAATGTAAGAAAGTTTATTTTACTACCACATTTGACCTTGCATGACCTTCAATGATAGCTCGCTGAAGTCGTCTCAACACCGGCTATCACATCGCAATAAAAAAAAACATAGCATTCCATTAAAAAAAATAGAGATGGCCTTGAAATCTCCTCCTGGGTGAAGACCCACGCAGAAAATGTTTGTGTCACAATATGCCCCCCTCTATACCATGTAAGTTTTGAATATAACATTTTTTCATATTATTACAATTAACGGCAATATTCAAAGTGGACATAGTTATTGCCCCACCTTGTATATAAGGGTGGCCCACATAACTATTAACAGCTCAATATCTCGAAAATTATGCCATCGATTTTAAAGTTGTTGGTCTTAAATTGCATAAATCTGAAGGGCCTTTCTAACTACATAAACGTGAAGTGCCCCCCCTTCCCCTTTAAGGGGGGGGGGCGGGGTACCTTTATAATTTTAACTGGAACTCCCTGTAAAACGTTATATATTTTGATTCTACAGGAAAAAACAAGTATATCTTGTCTGAAACATTTTTTTGTCAGATATTTCCATGATAAGATATAACAGTTTGAAGTTTCGACTTGTAGGTACTTACTTGAAGCGCTCGGAAATTGTGTTATTGAATTATACGCGCTTGAGTCCTTTGCTTACTCGTGAAGAAACAAAAACAATAATATTTACAATTCTTGAGTTTGACTCAATTGTCCATGAAAACGTTCTCAGTTTAGAGCTGTTATTCAAGCAGTAACATTGCGACTATGGCTATTTTCGATACAGAAGTGAATATGAAACAAAGAATACGTGACGCCACTTCAGTGGCTCCCGAAATGTTAACAAATGTTAACACAACTTTGATGTTTCGAGTAAATAAATGTTTACAAGCCCGTGGTGGACATTTTGAACATTTAATTTAAAGAAAATTTTATTTCTTCACGAATAAGCAAAGGACTCAAGCGCGTATAATTCAATAACGCAATTTCCGAGCGTTTCAAGTACCTACAAGTCGAAACATCAAACTGTTATATCTCATCATGGAAATATCTGACAACAAAATGTTTCAGACAAAATTTACTTGTTTTTTCCTGTAGAATCTAAATATATAACGTTTTACAGGGAGTTCCAGTTAAAATTATAAAGGTACCCCCCCCCCTTAAAGGGGAAGGGGGGGCACTTCACGTTTATGTAGTTAGAAAGGCGCTTCAGATTCATGCAATTTA